CGATTTTTCTACTTGACATCGTTCACTTCTTGCTGACTCAATTTCGAATAGTAACTAGATGATGCCATGTCCAATGAAACTGCCCTGGTGTCCACTTATGCCTGTGCACCCAAAAGGGCACTAAACAGGCACCTTACTTCAATTCCTGCAAGGGAAATATAGCGTCATGATGGATAGCTGGAGGTACCCACAGGTCCTGTACCGTTGTACGGTACTGTATCCGTACATACATACATACATATACCTAAAATCAGATTGACCATTGGATACCTAAGGTAGGTTAGTAGTTAGGGACTTAGGGTAAAAGGTAAGGAAGTTAGCATATGCCCCTCCTTTTCTGTGGCTCTTCTGGGGCCCCTGGCAAGCAAATCCATCTGGCTCTCCGCTTTCTGGCTCATACGTACTGTCGTAAATTACTCTAGCACTTATTTTTGCCTATGAGCTGTTAGCTTTTGGCGTATAAGATTGAACTGAATTGAATTAAAAAGGAGAAAGGAGAAAAGGAGAAAGAGAGGAAACCAGGGTATGGAGTATTCAACTTGAGCATCAGCACATCATGTCTGCGGCCATAAACAGAAAGCTAGAATGCGCCAATAAAAGACATTCCTAGACATTATCCTTTGCCTCATCTACACACTGCGACAACTGCCCATGCAGCAGGTACTACTATCTAGCTACTACTACTGCCATTCTGTAGCTCATTATTATTCATAATTCATTAAGAATCTACAATTAGGCCGCATGCCCTACCTCAGGATCGTTCAGTTGGTGAACTTGTGGGTTGGCTACCGCAGCTAAATAGCAACAGCAGTAGTGGTAGTCTCTAGTAGTCCCGCCCCCTCCTCTCTGCCCCAAATTATTGCCTCCTCCAGCGCCATATTGAACTTCGATCTCACTACGATCTATTATTATTTCTCTTCCCCCCGGCTCAAGATCAAGACATTTCCTCGCTCGAATGATTCTTTGACAATTCATATCTTCTTTGCATCAGTCTTTAGAACGCTCCTACTTGACTGAAGATAGCCCGAGTGTTCCTTGCTTTTTCTTCCTGATCTCCCGGTTCTTTATTCCCGCGTTCCTGCAGACCTCGCGTGTTCGGGCTTCGTCGCTCCATCAACGTCACCTGCTCTCCCTCAGTGTTCTCCCACCCTCTCCCTCTCTCTCTCTAACCTACTACCTTAATCTCTCTTCCTCTCGCTTTCACTCGTGCTCCCTTTCTCCTCTCCTTTCCGACCTCACTCCCCTTTCGAGGACATCAATCAATATAATTTCTGAACTGTAGACGTCAGATTGCAAATTGCCTCGCCTTTCAAGTATTTTGACGCCTGCCTCTTTTTTTATCTTTTTCCAATTTTATCTTTTTCATTTATTATCTTTGTTTCTGTTTTCCAACCGAATCCACTATTATTTCTTTCCCTTGGAGGTTTCCTGCTGTGGTCTTGTGTCTGCACTGTTGCCAAGTCCATTGGTCCTTGCTCTGAGCCTACCACCTGCGATTCGCCCGCCCATAAGTCCGCCTCTCTCAACCTTTCCATCTCACGCGCACCTCCACTCAACATCCACCATTCGGATATTCCGCCCATCCAAAGCGAACACCCCTCCTCCTGCTCCACCATCGATTGCAGTCTGCCCAAAACGGACTTCAGAACTCCCTTCTACGCTATTTTCCGCCATTCACTGTTGAAGTGCAGCCCTCCATACTCTCGATAGCACTGCCCAACCCCCCTCTTGTTGCCAACCCCACAAGTTTCCCGTGATGTCACAAAATCGACCTGGGGTGTTCTCGAATCTGCGCATGGGCGGTAAGAAACTTCCAAGTGCTGAGTTCAATTGTTCAGAAAACATTACCCAGGAGCCTGTGGAACTGACTGCTTCGCTTGTCCGACCATGCAGAAGTCGTCCGCGAGAAGGTCCAGGATGGACTGACAGGGGAAACCAAAGAGATTTCGTACTCACAATGTAAAATCGTCGGCAATGGATCGTTTGGTGTCGTCTTTCAAACGAAAATGATGCCAAGCGGCGAGGATGCTGCCATCAAGAGGGTCCTCCAAGACAAACGCTTCAAAGTATGTGTATATTATCAGGGCAATTGCCCTCGCTGCCCAACCCCAAGGTACTGTCGCTGACGAGATACCAGAATCGAGAATTGCAGATCATGCGGATTGTTCGCCATCCTAACATCGTAGAATTGAAAGCCTTCTACTACTCGAACGGCGAGAGGGTATGCAGCTCTCCTGTGTTTCCCTTCCGTCCTAAGTTGCCTTTGGCTGACTACCCTACCATTGTCTTTAACAGAAGGACGAAGTGTACCTAAACCTCGTTCTCGAATACGTACCAGAAACCGTCTATCGGGCGTCGCGGTACTTCAACAAACTGAAAACGACTATGCCGATGTTGGAAGTCAAGCTGTATATCTATCAATTGTTCCGTTCCCTTGCATACATCCACTCACAAGGCATCTGCCACCGTGACATCAAGCCCCAGAATCTCTTACTCGATCCAACCACCGGCATCCTCAAGCTTTGCGACTTTGGTTCGGCCAAGATTCTGGTAGAGAATGAGCCCAACGTTTCCTATATCTGTTCCCGCTACTATCGTGCGCCGGAATTGATCTTCGGCGCCACTAATTACACAACGAAGATCGGTAAGTCCTCACTGATTCCTGCTTCAACTCTGACACTGTCATTGCTGACGATTGTCAAGACGTGTGGTCCACTGGTTGTGTGATGGCTGAACTTATGCTTGGCCAGCCATTGTTCCCTGGGGAGTCGGGAATTGATCAACTGGTGGAAATCATCAAAGTCCTTGGTACACCTACTCGGGAGCAGATCCGCACCATGAACCCAAACTATATGGAGCATAAATTTCCTCAAATTAAGCCACACCCATTCAATAAGGTGAACACGCTCTGAAGGAACTTCTTGCGAATGTGTACTAACTCGATGACACGCAGGTATTCCGGAGAGCTCCTCACGAGGCCATTGATCTGATCTCGGCTTTGCTGGAATACACGCCGACACAACGTCTCTCCGCTATCGAGGCGATGTGTCACCCATTCTTCGACGAACTCAGAGATCCCAATACCCGACTGCCCGACTCTCGGCACCCTGGTGGCGCTGCTAGGGACCTCCCCAATCTCTTCGATTTCTCCAGACATGGTTCGTTATCACTTGAGGTCCTAACCTCATTCTTCCAGATGGTTGATTCTGACGGTTCTTTCTGTAGAACTTTCTATTGCACCTGCATTGAACAGCCGGCTGGTTCCCCCTCATGCACGCGCCGCTCTCGAGGCCCAGGGGCTAGATATTGACAACTTCACTCCACTCACAAAGGAGGAGATGATCGCACGCCTCGACTGAGTCGATACGTTTCTCGTTACGAATGAAACGCCCGTTCGATAGTGCTTCTATTTGCACAACTGCGCGAGGATATGATGTCATGCCATGCAATCCACTTTGTGCACTGGGATGTCTTTGGACCAGGAGTGGCTTTTATTGGACTTGTCGACCAAAGTCGCTGGCTAGGCACCCGGAAGTTGGCATCTCTTCTGAGCGTATGAGGATATAAGGCAAAGCCCATAGTCAAATGAAAAGCTGAAAAAGGAGAAAACAGAAGAAAAAAAAAGATGGGAAATACAGAAACATCGCATTCTGGTGACAACATACGCGGTTTCCCTGAGGCGGTGGTGCATCATGACAGTTTCATGCAACGGGGTTGAGGGATTGTCATAGTCTGGAGTTTTCGAGGTGTCTGAGACAGCTCTTGGGAAAGGAAAAAAAGTGATACCCTTTAGTGTGCGAGTCTGCCTTCGGGGATTTAAGTTTGCATAGCTTCATTCTCGTTTGAAGGAGGTCATGACCACTCCAATGCCGCAAGTCCTACTGAGAAATGCGAAGTGATCCATACCCTGGGATGGCTACAGATACTGTGAGGGATTCCTCAGCCTGGAGCTACCTAACAATTGTGTCTTTTCCGTTAGTCTGTGTGCTCCGGGTACCGGTATTGGAGATCCCATGGCCCGCTCAACTTGCAGCTTTAGAAGCCCCTTCCATGTGTTCACACTTCATTTTCGATTTTTGTGTCCTTAGCTCTTTCCATCTCTCTTTCCCTCTGATTTTCTCTGAACTCTTGTTTGTTCTAACGTCCGATTTCACCTGTTTGGCTTCGATGACTACGTGAACTTCGGCTTGGCCAACGGTGATCACAGCTGTTTTTTAATGCCAAGAGGATAACCTGCTTCTACACCTCCATATACATTCAGAGATTCTCAAGCTGTATGTCTGGGGACTTCTCGTTCGCTAGTATGTATAAACACAGACACGTGTATCATTTCTTCGTGCTTGCCTGTCCTCTATTTTCATATGATCAAGTACATGGGATCTGCCTGAAAGTTGTGCTGTGGACTTGGTAACCCAGAACCTCCTAATTCGTTGGCACTTCTGCAAGCTCTGGTTGATCTCCGTCATAGAAGGAGAGAATTGAGACTCGGAACTAGAGGTCGCCTTATTTCCAGAAAGAAAGTCATTTCCATAGCCTTCTCATCATCCTGACCATAAATGATCGTTACAGGCGCTCTTCCTCTGATGGACACAGCAAGATTAAGCTGGTATAGGGTTTCACAAGAATCAGTGACCACTGAAGCTGGTAGATACTAATCTGCTTTCACCTGACTTCGGAAGCTGACTTGTTATATGCCTATCTTCAAAAGGAAGATGAATCCGCTTACCTTCCGTTATCAGGGCCAAAGCCTCAGTAGTTATCAGTGGGTGTTATATAAGCCATGGAACGGAACATCCAATGTTCCAGCTTTGCGGCGGCCGAAGCTGTTGTTCTGGCACGCGGTACTTGGCTCCAAGTGAACTACCTGGTCTTTGCCAACGAAAGGGGCCGTGATCCTATTTTAAGTGTCACAGACAGCTTCAGCTTGGGTATCCGCCAGATAGATACTCTGTTGGAGTCAATCGTTGTTCGCGAGTTGAGTTCTGTTGTGCAATCGTAACATGGCCGACTACGAACGCCGACCACAGGGCCACTCAAGGGGAGGGCGCAAGAGGCGTTATAGAGGTCTGTCTACGATAACTGAGATCCTGACTGCTCTGCCTTTTGCTGAGTAGAAGGTCCTTTCCCTTGCTGATCTAGATTGGACTAACTTTGCGCTGGTGGTGCATAGATGATGAGGATTATGACCGGCGTCCGCAGAGGCGCAGATACGAAGAGCCACTTGTGGTCAAGGTCCGACGACAGCTGCTAACACTTGCCGAGTCTGTATGAGCTCCCTTAACCCCATAAGTCCTGAATTTTACCGATCGCAATTCGTGAAGCTTACATGTAATTGCGCTCTAGGCTGCTCGAAAAGCAGAGGACGACGTTGTGGTCATCGCAAAAAGTGTCGCGGAGAACTATGAGGACGAAGAGCTGAGAAAGAGCTATGTCGATATAGCCATTGATCTGTATGTGAGAATAAACTCTCAGTTCAAATCCAATCTCCCGTGCGCGGTCCAGGGCTGACCTTTTGGCTTTCTGGTAGAGTCATAGAGCAACCGTTGAAGATTCCTTTTATCGCCGCTACAGTTCTGGTCGCCAATAACTATAAATCAGAGCTTGTAGAAGATGTTCTCAAACAAGCACGCGAATCACTGCAACAGTACATTGATGCCGGAGCCTGGCGCGAGGTCAAGCTGCTTCTTCGATTCCTGGGTTGCCTTCAATCAATTTTCGAAGAAGACGGCGTCTTTCCAATCTTGGAGGAACTTTTTGCACGTGCGGTTGATCTCCAAACCGCGTCATCTGAAGATGTCAGTGGACTATCCTCAACATTTCCTCAAATATATCCCTTGCTGGGTACTGATGTCTTCCCTATAGTTGCTGGGACTCGAGCTCGTCAAAATCATTCTCTTCACGATTCCATACACTATGGCGTCTCCAGCCACCGGGTTTGAAGCACAAGCAAGTGCACTCTTGGAAAAAACAGATATCATCGCCTCAACGCCGCATGCTCTAGTTGACTTGGTGAATCCATTCGCTTTACAGGATGGTGAACCAACTGCTGTGCAGAGTGTTATCAGCTTGCTTCAGAACCAACTCCAAGCCGAAGCAAACCGCGGATGGGAGCTTGCTTGCCTTCCTCGGCCCTGGAAGAGGTCCGAAGGCGAAGAAGATGGTCCTATAGAAGCCGGTGCTAAGCATGCCTTCCCTCAAGTCACCGTCCCAAATCCTGTTCGAAAAGGGACCAGGGCGATTTTTCCCGAAATCTACCTCTCTGTATACGCGAACCAAGACTTGGAGACAGTCCCTCCGACGTCAGACATTGCATCGTCTTTGTTGAGAGAAGCACTCGTCGATACAATCAACATCCTCGACTTCAACCGCATCGCTACTGCTAAGTTTTTGATAGATGTGGATTGCTATTTCACGCCAAACACTTTTGTGAAGCGTGCTACGCCATTTGACAGGCTGCGCGATTTCCCTGGGGATCGCCCTACGTGGAAGCCTGAGGATGTTGCCGTCGACGCCGTCTTCTCCCAGCTATTCCAGCTTCCTTCCCCAGAACACAAGCTGGTTTATTATCACTCGGTACTCACTGAATGTTGCAAGATCGCGCCCGCTGCAATTGCTCCCAGTTTGGGTAGGGCTATTCGCTTCCTGTATCGAAGCCTTGACACAATTGATTTGGAGCTCATACACCGATTCTTGGATTGGTTCGCTCATCACCTGAGCAACTTTGGATTCACGTGGAAATGGAGCGAATGGTTGGTGATCTTGATCCGGGATCATTTACTGTATGCTAACATTGGGTCTCAGGATCGAAGACCTCGAGCTTCCGCTTGTCCATCCAAGAATGGCGTTCATTACGGGCGCTATCGACAAAGAGATTCGATTGAGCTTTGCCCAACGCATCAGAGGAACTCTGCCAGATCCGTACCAGGATTTGATAACCGAAGGAAAGGAGAAGGATACTCCTGATTTCAAATATTCCTCAGATAGTGAGCCTTACCTCATATGTCATCATCGTTCTGCCTACTCGATAGGGTTATCTAATATCGTTATTCCTACAGCTACTCCGTACGCCAAAGAAGGCAGAGAGATCATGCAACTCATTCGCAAAAAAGCGGGCGATGAGGAGCTTCAGCCACTGATCACCGCCATCGAGGAGCAAGCGCAGGCTCTAGGAGTCGACGATCCTATGTTGCCCTCTACCGATGCCTTTGTCACGTCTATCTGCTTCGTTGGCTCCAAGTCTCTTTCTCACGTCTTGTCATGCATTGAGCGGAACAAGGAAAGGCTGTTGGCGATTGGGCCCAAATCAGCTCGTGCCCGTTGTCAGATCATCACCTCGGTGATGGAGTACTGGGTGGATCAACCAGGTGTCGCGATCAATATTATCGACAAGCTGTTGAACTATACGATTCTGACACCCCTATCCGTCATCGAATGGGCCCTGGTGGAGAGGTTGGAAGCAGGAACAATTCTTAGCAGAACACATATCTTTGAGATGATTTCTGCTACGGTTGGCAAGGTCACCAACCGTCTGCGGCAGATTGTGGCTGCACGCACCCAGCCGGGTCTGTATGAACCCCAATTGAGTGTCTTGGATGAGACCTTGAGCCGCGAAAAGGCCGATATGCAAGCTCTTTTCAGAGTAATCGAAGACTCCATTGTGTCTGTCGCTGGCGGTAGTAACGATGAACTGATKGAGAGAGGTGATGGAAGTGGGAACCTGCCAGAGGACGAAATCATCCGTCAGTGGGGTCGCCGATGGCTCAGGGTATTCAGACGCAAGGCTGGTGTGGAAGAATCATTCATCACCGAAGCCATGGCTGATGCCACACCGGTCGGGACGGTCGCCCCTGCGCCCCAAGCTGCTGCCTCTGAGACTGGGGCGGCCGCGAATGCAGCGGCAGATGGAGACATGGACGTTTCTGGCGCAGATGAAGCGGTGGAGATTTCGTAGGGAGCCCCTCTGGACCCAAACGGCCCATCGGTCTCGGTGGCTGCCGATTTGCTTGACTGAGTCACTTCATCTGTTGAGTTTCCTTGAAGCTATGTATTGATAGGTCATTGTGGGATTAAGTTAAACGCAACGAAAACAAAATGCCTCTGTCCTCCTTATTTATTGATTCATCTTCAGCATTCTTTCCGGTCCTTGTTTGATATACATTCAACCACGGTCATTTTGTCTGCTATGCCTGCATTTGAGCCACCCTTAATAATGTCTGACGCTTGTGGAATCTCCCAAAGTCCTCGACCATGAGAGACCATTATGGATCTAGTTGACGTTGTAATATTTCGCTTGTAGGCACATGAGTATCCAGTAGATTCATTGATGCGATGTTGGTATGTGTTTCTAACAATTTATGAAATTATATACAGCAAACTTGCAGAGGTCCCGCCACAAAGCAAGGAGGGAAGAGAAGATTCCAGACCTCCACGTATAAACCAAGTCACCAGATGATTAAAATGATACAATAAGAATGACCATGAAGGAAGATAGGGAACGATCAGTGTTGTACAATGATGATTAGGGTATGGTCAGTTGTCAAGGAAGACATGACAGTCATAATTCACGTCAAGGTTGTGAACGTGTCCAATGGTTCAAGGGAGTTATGTCAGGGCCTCCTCTTTTCCATTTCGACGGGTTTTTTTGTTTTTGTCTGTTTGCACCCACATGAGTAGTCGATCTATTCACAACGGAACGCGATTCGGACATATTCTCCGCGAACGCAGTCTGTCATAAATGGAGGACTTTTGGCGTACTTCATGGCGCGATGATCTCGATCAAAGATCCTTTTTAGTCTCTTCTTGAGACAGATACTTGCGGTCGTCTTCGCCTTCGACTGTTTTGAGAATTGTCTCCATTTCCTTGGTCTGTCTCTTCCACTCAGCTTCGTCCATTTTCGTCTCGCGCCGGAAGAGTTCCTCGTTGGGCTTCCGGTAGCTGCCACCGAGGCGGTCCCACAGCGTCGTGAATTGTCCATAATTGTAGTTGAAGTAGAGGTGGTGCATTGTGTGGCAAGCAGCCCCGTTGATGATTGGGCTGTTGGCAACATATTCTCCGTCGTGAATCATTACCGTCCACAGGTTGATGAAGCCGAAGAGAAAAACATAGGCCAGCTTCTGTAGGGGAAAGATGAATGGGAAAACGTGGTAAGGAACACTCTGCGACCAACCATCCAAGGGATGGAAGGCATGCGACGCGAAGGGACTAGGCATGATCCACTTGTGATGGGGCTTGTGGAGGGACTTGTAGATCAGCGGGTGGTGCAAGCCACGATGAATCCAGTAGATGCAGAAATCGGTGAAGGCGATAAACAGAGGGAACTGTAGAACGCTATAGTACGGGAATGGCTCCTCGTCGAAGGAGTCGTACAACTTGGCGTATCCCCTAACCTCGGCGACCAAGAAAGGAGCGGTCAGGAAAGACATGACGGGCATCGATCGCATGGTCTGCGCAATCTCCATGGTAATTTGGTTTTTGAGGAATTTTGGGTGCTTGACCGTCGTCTTGTCCCAAATGAAGATGTAGGAAAGGGTCGCGGATATAAAGTAAACGATAATGCCGAAAATCCTATTTCGAAAGAAAATCGAATCATTAGCTAACCGTCTTTTGGAGAGGTTGGGCTCAAAGAGGGTTTTGCATACCAAACGATCAGAAAGAAACTCAGGAACTGGCGGTAGATATTGTTTCTGGGCCATGCGCTCAGGTAGGCGTACTTAGACGGCTCCAGATGGAACAGTTGAGTGGCGGGTTCGTACACAAACGGCTTGGAGGCACCAAACAAGGACAAAGAGCTATTGGCAGCATTGGTCAAGCCTGGTAACGAGACCGTCGAGGAAAGTGATACGGGGAGCAGGGCCGAATACACACGGTCCCCGATGATGGTATCCCAGACCTCAAGAACGATATCCATGGTGCTGGGAAACGAGAACTATTTTTGCGCCAGAGATGAAAATTGGCAGGGGTTGAGCGCAGCCCAGTCAGTCAGTGGAGGGTCAAGTGCGATACAATGACAAAGTTATGAATTCAGAGACAAGATGAAAGATAAGACATCAGTGGAGGGAGGGGAGGATAGCAAGAGAGCAGAGGAGGAGGTGGATGGAGGAGGTTTAATAAAAAGTAACAATAATAATAATAATAATGTTTTGAAGACTTCGAATCAGGAGAACCACGGAAAATCGACCCTGCAGTAGTGTGGTTATCACACCAGGGCGGAACAGGCACAGCCGATCCGTCCGGTGGATTCGGCTCGTAGAGTAAGGAAGTGTCTAGAGATAGTATCTACTCCGTGGTCTGGGTTGCCTCGATGAGTCCAGTAATGACTTGTAGGTGAAGACAACGATCACTTAATACTAATAAAAATCCCCTGTAGGTACAGGATGCCTTCTGGGAAGTCTGGGGCGGAACTAAGCTCGTACTCCTTTGTCTGCACTGATGTTGTTTAGGTAAGGAGCATCGAGTGGGATCGAACCTCATTTCAATTGAATGCAGTGACAAGACATAGACGTATAGGCGTATAGGCGTATAATCAAATGTCAAAAAAAATGTTTACACGGGACCCAAGTCTGTACCCAAGTAACCGCAGAATAATTGTTGATGAAGGAGCTAAGGTATATAGTACGGTTTGTCCAACAGGATACGATTGATATGGAATCTTGACGTATCTGCCAGATACCGTTGCCATAGGTTAAAATCGATGATCAATAAACATGACATAAGGTATGAATCCTATGCTCTTTATGCCTTGCCTGAATAGACTTGTCTTGAGTCTGTGTCATTGACTGCTTGACCTTGGTCATGGTTGTCTGCAAACGGTTCTCCCATCGCACGTTTCTTTACCAACTTAGCCGTGCCCCACTAGTACTAATACACAAATAGCAAGTCAGGCACGACCTTTACCTTGAAAGGTTAGCGTGAACACTAACTGATTTAGGTAACGATCCAAAACCAGCTTCTGGAGACTTGGCGGCAAACGTTAGCCGCCTGCCCCAGCTGACTTTTTCCTCCTCTACCCTACAGCGGGCCTTCGCCTTATGCTACCTACCTTATATAATAATATATGCGTCCGGAGTGTCAGTGCACGCTTACTAAGGTACTACTACTGGCCCACTGGCTGCTGAGTCTTGGAAGCCCCAAAGTCCCAGCTCGACAACCTATCCGCCTACCTACCTTACCAACCTTACCTACTACTCAACTCTGGTGGCCTCCTCTTCCTACTCGTTCCGTTGCTCTTCTTCACGCACACTTACACTCCATCCTCTAACTATCCTCACCCTTTCGACCCGCTTTTTCCTTCTCCTGCATCATTGCAGCGGCTTGTCCCTGTCGCGCTGTGATGCGACAGGTTTGACTTGCGTTTCTGCAGTGCCTTGAGAGTGTCATCCAATTTCAACCCGAAACCCCCCTCTTCCTTCAATCGTCAGCATCGCTCTGTCGCGACACGTTTCTGTTACATTCATCCTTGCAACTGGACTAAATCGCACTCCGATCTTGATTTTCTCGAAGCGACTGATATCAAATTTTGACGCGCAAAATGTACAACACACACCGTGGGATGGTTCCCGCTCCCAACTCCCGTCTTACAGAGTTGCTGGACCAGCTGCGCCAGGAGTTTGAGAACCAGTCTAGAAGCACCGGAGAGTTCGAGCACCAGTGTATGTTTAATGTCCTTTCATAATTCTTTGGTCATGTCGACGCTTTCACTTCTATGTGCGACCGTATCGCCATTTGTCCATCTGTTCTCTCAGGACATCGGGGGAGGGGAAGCACACCGTGGTCTTTCAATCTTCGCCCGATTGAGATGTAGACTGGACCGCGGTGCCGCACAAGACTTGCCATTGCTCACAAAGTTATCGACGAACCGCGCTAACTATCTCCTCCAGTAACCGGTCAACTCCAGGAGATGGAGATGATTCGTCAGAAGGTATATCAGCTGGAGCAGGCACAGATCAAGATGAAGCAAGAGTTCGTACCTTCAATCCCCAACCTTGAGGGAATTGGACGCAGGAAACGCATAGTTGGCTGCTAACACATAATCTCTCTTTCCTATAAAATAGCTACGAAGCAGAAATCCGAGTCCTGCGGCACGAGCTCGAATCGCGCGGCGTTCAGCCCGTCTCGTCTCATATTGCTGGCCCTGCGCAGCATGCTGGCCCCTCTCAGGCGCCTCCACCGGCCCTGGGCCATGGCCCCAGCAATTTGTTCGGTGGAATCATGACCAACCAAGGAGGTAGTGGTCCCGGTCTTGCCCCTCCCCCTCCCCAGGATCAGCAGCCTCCCCAGCATACCCTTCAACAGCCTGCTCCCGCGGCTCAGCAATCAGCTCCCCAACCGCCGCAGAGCTCCTTTGGAGGATATCAGCCTGGTGCTGCTGTGAACGGTATGTTCTGACTGTATTTACTTTTGGTTCTCTGACGTCTGACCATGCGATGTTTTTCGTTTTCTATTCAGGCTACGGACCAGCACCGCCTCCGACCGCTTCTCCTGGCCCCGGCAAGCGGCCTCGCGCCCCGCCTGGGCCTGCAACTCCTCAACAGACTCATCAGCTAGCGTACCCCGACCCGCGCGTGTCCCCTCAAATTGCCCGTCCCACCCCTCCTAGCCAGGCCCTCGTGACGTCTCGTGGCGAACGTCCCGGGAACATGCTGGCTAACTGGAACCCCGATGACTTGCCCGCTTCGCAGAAGCGCGAGGGGGCCGATTGGTATGCGATCTTTAACCCCGAAGTTCAGCGAGTGCTTGATGTGGACCTCGTCCATCACCTTGTCCATGACAGCGTTGTCTGCTGCGTCCGTTTCAGTCGCGACGGCAAATACCTCGCCACGGGCTGCAACCGCTCCGCTCAGATCTTCGACGTGACCACCGGCCAGATCGTCGCTACCCTGCAAGACGAGAGCGTAGACAAGGATGGGGACCTTTATATCCGCAGCGTCTGCTTCAGTCCCGACGGCAAGTACCTCGCCACCGGGGCCGAAGACAAGCAAATCAGGGTATGTCGAGTTGTTCTCCTTTTGGAAGACTGGGGCTAATACAAATGCATCTAGGTGTGGGACATTGCGGCGCGTACCATTAAACATATCTTCACCGGCCACGAGCAAGACATTTACTCGCTCGACTTCGCCGGCAATGGTCGATACATTGCCTCAGGCAGCGGAGACAAAACCGTACGTCTCTGGGATATCCTCGACGGTAAACTCGTTTACACTCTCAGCATCGAGGACGGCGTCACCACTGTAGCCATGTCTCCCGACGGCCACTACGTTGCGGCCGGCTCCTTGGATAAGAGTGTCCGTGTTTGGGACACCACCACTGGATATCTTGTGGAGCGTTTGGAGAGCCCTGACGGGCATAAGGATAGCGTTTACTCAGTCGCATTTGCTCCCAATGGTCGGGATCTGGTCAGTGGCAGTCTTGACAAGACGATCAAGCTCTGGGAGCTAAGCGTCCCCCGGGCCGGCTATACAAATGCCGTGAAGGGCGGTAAATGTGTGCGCACATTTGAGGGCCACAAGGTATATCCAATATGACGCTGCTTGCGTTCGGAAGAAGTATACTCGGTCGATGCTAATTTTACTGGATAGGATTTTGTTTTGAGCGTGTGTCTCACTCCCGATGGGCACTGGGTTATGAGCGGCTCCAAGGACCGGGGTGTTCAATTCTGGGACCCCATCACTGGAAATGCACAGATGATGCTTCAGGGACACAAGAACTCCGGTCAGCACCTCTTCCCCAAATTGTCTTGCTTTGTTCGCTGGTGGATCTCGAAAATTTTCCAGGATCTAACTGTCTTTTACAGTCATCTCGGTTGCCCCCAGCCCTACAGGCAACTTGTTCGCCACTGGCAGTGGCGACATGCGGGCAAGAATCTGGAGGTACGTTTTACACGTTCAATTCTTATCGCTGAAATTGAGTCCAGCGCATTTGTTCAGGCGAAACTAACGCGTTGGTCCTTGGCAGATACTCCACTTATACCGGACGGTGATGGGCTTGATGATAGGAAGCTTCGGCGCAAATGTGACTTCTTTTGTTTGTTTAATCCACAATGTCGTAGCCTCTTTGAACATGGCCTGGGTTTGTTTATGCGTTCGACCTTTGGAAGGGTCCATCCCCGTCACATCGCAACTTCAGATTTTCATTTCCTCGGTGACGTTACTTGTTGAATTACACGTTTTAAAAATGACAAATCTTTCCATGTACGGATAGCAGCTAAACTGATATATTGACTGAAACGAGAGTCTTCTACTTCGGCTTGCGATGAATATGCGCCTTCGCGGATGTGTCAATTGAGGTGCAGCAGGTTATCCTGGACCGGTCGCAACAGTGCCGAGCATTATTCGGCATGAGCGTATACATATGCCCTGAAGCTGACGTACGTGCCAGATACCCGGAAGCAAGTGGTTTCACGGTGATCTGATCCATGAACCCGTTTGCCTCCTGGCAGCTCGACAGGGTTCTAGGGTTAATGGGAAGATTACATCTTTTTGTCCAGTTATAGGCAATGTCTGTTACGGATATCCTTGCTTGGTACATGGCCAAGGGCCGTGTGAGATGGATATGATGCTGAGGCACCAGAATCAGCCCGAGACCTCGATATCAGCTCGGACCAGCCCCATGATCCCAGGCTGGGCGATTGGATCTCACATATCGCCTACTGCGGGATAAGATATCTCACTCACGGAGGATTAGAAACATATATCAAACAGGTCGACGACAGTGGTATCCCAGGATCTATCAATGCCGGTAAGAACATGATGCAGATCAGGTGCCAATGTCTGGTTCTGGTCCTGTCTCAGGTACAGAACTACCTTTGGGTATGCATTGATTCTTGGTTCATTGAGTGATAATCATCGCGATTGACACTCAAGAGAAGGGGTTTGCTGACAGAAAATAACGAGAATGAACGGCTTCCCACGT